TCTTCTTATGTTTCCATCAAACTTGTGATTTATTCCACCATACACTGCTCTAATTCCCACATATTCTACATTTTCCCCTATTCCTGTTCTTCCTTGTTGTTTTATTTTACTTTTCATATCTTGTATTTCTTCTTTAAGCTCCTTGATCGTTTTCTTATTTTCTTCCTCTGCAATATCTACGTTTACTTGTATTCCTTCTTTAATTCTGTTTTCCACTAATTCTTTATTCCTACTATTGCTTGTTATATTTCTGTCTATTCTTTTTATTTGTATTTCTGTTTCTTTTATATTCTCTTTTATTCTATTGTCAACTCCAGTTATAGTACTTATCCACTTATTTTCAAACGTATTCATTTTCTCTATCACATCTTCTTTATTTATGTTTATTTCTTTAACTTCTTCTTTAATGTTTTCAATTTTTTTGTCCATAAATTCTTCTACCTCGCACATTCTTCCAACCATTTCTTCTCTAATTTCTTTCTTTGTTTCTAGAATTCTAGTTTCCATCTGTTCCTTCGATTCTTCTATTCGTTTCTGAAACTTTTCTAGTTTATCTTCCATTTTCTCACTATTCTCTTCTATTCTTTTAATCATGTTTTGTTCCATAGTTTCTAGTCTTCTATTATTTTCCTCCATTTTATTTATCATTCTATTCGTGTCATGTTTTCTGTCTTCATCAATTTTATTCATGTCACTTTTTCTGTTTTGTTCCATTTTATTCATTTTTTCATTCATATTTTCCATCATTTTAATAAACATTTCATTTATCCACTCTTTTTCCATTTTCTTTTCAGTATTTACAATCTCTTTTTCTATCGCAGTACTTATTTCCCTTAGTTCTTTTTCCTTCGTTCCTTCACCACTGTCATTATTGTTCATTTCAAATATATTTCCTCTTAAGTTCTGATTATCTATTTGAGATATATCTCCTTGTCCTATATCATTGTTATCTTCCTTTTCTTCTCCTTGCCCAACCTTCTTTCCTCCTCTTAATACCATGTTATTTTCCATAATATTTGTTTTAGTTAACTTTAATATTGTTACAACACTATTTTATATTATATTACGACTTTATCACTTTCACTTTGTCACTTGCGTCAATTTGACAGCTTTAATGCCCCACGTTGGGCGCCATTTGTTATGTTTGTTCTAAACACAACCTTTACAATAGCCCGTTGAACGCCTTTCTTTCTCTTTCCCAGGGGTAGTTTCAATAAGCACTTCTAATTTTATTTTAATTTTATTTTAATTTCATTTTAATTTCATTTTAATTTCATTTTAATTTTATTTTAATTTTATTTTAATTTTATTTTAATTTTATTTTAATTTTATTTTAATTTTATTTTAATTTTATTTTAATTTTATTTTAATTTTATTTTAATTTTATTTTAATTTTATTTTAATTTTATTTTAATTTTATTTTAATTTTATTTTAATTTTATTTTAATTTTATTTTAATTTTATTTTAATTTTATTTTAATTTTATTTTAATTTTATTTTAATTTTATTTTAATTTTATTTTAATTTTATTTTAATTTTATTTTAATTTTATTTTAATTTTATTTTAATTTTATTTTAATTTTATTTTAATTTTATTTTAATTTTATTTTAATTTTATTTTAATTTTATTTTAATTTTATTTTAATTTTATTTTAATTTTATTTTAATTTTATTTTAATTTTATTTTAATTTTATTTTAATTTTATTTTAATTTTATTTTAATTTTATTTTAATTTTATTTTAATTTTATTTTAATTTTATTTTAATTTTATTTTAATTTTATTTTAATTTTATTTTAATTTTATTTTAATTTTATTTTAATTTTATTTTAATTTTATTTTAATTTTATTTTAATTTTATTTTAATTTTATTTTAATTTTATTTTAATTTTATTTTAATTTTATTTTAATTTTATTTTAATTTTATTTTAATTTTATTTTAATTTTATTTTAATTTTATTTTAATTTTATTTTAATTTTATTTTAATTTTATTTTAATTTTATTTTAATTTTATTTTAATTTTATTTTAATTTTATTTTAATTTTATTTTAATTTTATTTTAATTTTATTTTAATTTTATTTTAATTTTATTTTAATTTTATTTTAATTTTATTTTAATTTTATTTTTAATTTTATTTTAATTTTATTTTAATTTTATTTTAATTTTATTTTAATTTTATTTTAATTTTATTTTAATTTTATTTTAATTTTATTTTAATTTTATTTTAATTTTATTTTAATTTTATTTTAATTTTATTTTAATTTTATTTTAATTTTATTTTAATTTTATTTTAATTTTATTTTAATTTTATTTTAATTTTATTTTAATTTTTAATTTTATTTTAATTTTTATTTTATTTTTATTTTTATTTTTTATTTTTATTTTTATTTTATTTTAATTTTATTTTAATTTTATTTTAATTTTATTTTAATTTTATTTTAATTTTATTTTAATTTTATTTTAATTTTATTTTAATTTTATTTTAATTTTATTTTAATTTTATTTTAATTTTATTTTAATTTTATTTTAATTTTATTTAAATTTTAATTTTATTTTAATTTTATTTTAATTTTATTTTAATTTTATTTTAATTTTATTTTAATTTTATTTTAATTTTATTTTAATTTTATTTTAATTTTATTTTAATTTTATTTTAATTTTATTTTAATTTTATTTTAATTTTATTTTAATTTTATTTTAATTTTATTTTAATTTTATTTTAATTTTATTTTAATTTTATTTTAATTTTATTTTAATTTTATTTTAATTTTATTTTAATTTTATTTTAATTTTATTTTAATTTTATTTTAATTTTATTTTAATTTTAATTTTATTTTAATTTTATTTTAATTTTTTATAGATTTTATTTGGAATTATGCAAAATTGTGTCAAAAAAATGCTTAAATAAACAAACTTATAAAAATTACCTTATAGTTTAATTTTTAACAAATCATCATAGGAAAATTGAACAAATATTAAATACATTGAAGACAATAACTTATAAGCTACCCTACTACACCTACTAATCTCAAAACTGTTGTCAAACAAAATTTTACAAAATCCTAAACTTGATTGCTTAGGCTAGACTATAAATTTAGTCTGACATGGTAAAATTATTAACAACTAAACTATAACTACAAATATAACTGTTCCAACTTTCAACAACAAAAAAAAAAAACTTGTGATTAAATTTCTATTATTCCTTTTTGAAAGTCATTAATGGCACAAATTAAAATGTTCATAAATACCGGTCTGGGTATCTCCACTTTCCAGTTTTATCTTCCTTCTTGGACTCCCGGTCTTATCCGTCTACCACCTTTTGCATATACTCTCCTTTTTTATATATCTTTATGATCTTATAATCTTTTAACACAGTAGCTTAACAGTTTGCTTATTTATTTTTATAATACTAGTAATATTATCTCTTCTATTTAGAAAACTATTGCTCCTCTAAAATTACTGACATTTCTTTTTTTTTTAAATTCCAAAATTGACAACCACCATTTTTTTTTAATCAATCTCCCATTTTTTAAAGCCCGTTTCAAAAAGAAATTACTCTATAGGGTGTTCTACGTAATTCCAATATATTTCATGTGCAAAATATACTTTGTTAATTTCTCATGACAAAATTACACCACAACAATATATATAAAAAAAAATACATTGCATTCGACTGAATTTTGGTTAAAATATGTTCGTAAAGTATTTTTAACATGCTAGTTACTTGAATGATTGTAAATTGTAAGAGTATTAAGTGATAAAACTGATCTAGTGCTTTATTCTTCCTTGTTTTTTTTTTTGTTGGTGTCTCAGTCCCCAGCCAAGCCAGCAGTAGTAGCAAATACATTAACATTGTCTACATTAAAGGACATATCAACTATTATGTTAATTATAAATATTATAGTATAAATATTTGTAACAAAATAATAGTTGTGTATTAATAAAGCAACACCGACTATCACGTCATAAGAAAAGCTTTCATGCAAAATTTCAGTCACTTTCAAGCACATACTTTGATTACTATATGGGGCAAGAGAGAGGTCCGACACGCCCAACATAGGGCGCGGCCATTTTGATTCCTATGACACAGTTTACAGCTAAAGAATCAGATCGCTCACTCTGCGTCGGCACTTTTGATCTCAATGTTCCAGTTTATACACTGCGTAACTCGGATAATACAATATATGACAACCGCCTATAATAAAACAGCAGTCTTCTGCGTATCCTGAATTTGTATCCCTGGAGTGGATGTTATTTTGGAACTTTCAACTGGTCCAAGTGAGCTAACTGATTCTTTAGCAATAAACTGTGACTCCAAAAATAATATTCACTGACACCACATACTTTGATTACTATACGGGGCAAGAGAGAGGTCCGACACGCCCAACATAGGGCGCGGCCATTTTGAACCCTATGACACAGTTTATAGCTAAAGAATCAGATCGCTCACTCTGAGTCGGCACTTTTTATCTCAATGTTCCAGTTTATACACTGCGCAACTCAGATAATACAATATATGACAACCGCCTATAATAAAAGAGCAGTCTTCTGCGTATCCTGAATTTGTATCCCTGGAGTGGATGTTATTTTGGAACTTTTAACTGGTACGAGTGAGCTAACTGATTCTTTAGCAATAAACTGTGACTCCAAAAATATTAGATTAAAACAAGAAAACCGACAATTCCTAAGCAGAAGCGGATGATTAAAACGCACCTATTAAAAATATTGCGCCAAGATGTAGGCAACACGTAATAAGGGTTCAAAATGGCGGAGTTTTCTATCTCCTTTTAAAAGGCACTCAGAAAGCTGCGCAGTGCGACCATTCTCCGTATAGTAAGAGAAAATCAAAGTATTGTGATTCTTTTGCTCTGAGAATATCGAGCTCGCTCTATGTTCTTGCTCCAAAGCGAAACAAACACTTTTGAGATCTCTCGGAGTGTCAATTCAAACACGTTTTCAGCGCTAGGAAATCTCCGATCACATACTTTGAATGTGTCTCCGATGATCAAATCAAACGCACCATAACACATTTCTTTGAACACTTCATTTTTTGACGTTTATTTGACAAAATAATCACAGATTATTTAGTTTCTTTATTCCATAAATGCCAGTTGTTCAATGAAATGCTTTACACTAACTTTTTCATTTTACTAATATTTTACACCAAGTTCAGTGTTGCTTATATCTACCCCATATTATGTCGGTCTTGTGGATACAAAATAGATGCGGTCGCTTCAAAACTAGAGCTAGAAGATGAGAGTCAATCTGGAATGGATATAATCCGAAGTATAATAATACCTATTAGTAACGGAGTCTGCAACATATGGATAAATTTTCTGGAAGTGTACCACTGCGTATATTCTAAATATTTTCTAAAAGAAGAAGAACGACCAATACCGAAACCGAAATCATTCATAGACGAATTGACTTATTGGATTGGTTTTGCGAAGGAAGAAGAACCGCCAATTAAATGTTCTTATTATGCTTTTACTATAGTTAGTGTATCAATCCTTTTCTTAATGTGCCTTTTGTACTCTATAAAGAAAATGATGGATTATTTTCGAGAAGATGAATATCCTTTCGAAGTAGGATTTAACAAAAGATTTAATATGTGTAGTTGCAAGCTGAATGATTTTATTTATGATGATTAGCGCTTAAAATATACTCTGCAATCAAAAAAACGGGGATTTTCATAGTGATTAGGAGCAAACCACTAAGGGTGACAATATAATCAGATAGGAATAGTTTTAATTAATATTATATAGCTGAGTTTAAAGGAGCATAGATGCTGGAAATATAAAATGAGAGGTTACAAATAAAGGACCAACCACACATTTTCAGTTTCAACACAGTATTCTCAGTGTTAATAATATCACCGTTAAAGCACTTGTAGCTATTAAGGTGATCCGTCCTAACCCATAAGAACTAAATAACACACGAAACTTGTATAATGCGGTAAGCATTCTAGCAAAACGATATTTTTTAACAGACTAGTCCCTATTCTTTTTACAAAGTTAACTCTTACATCTGGGTGTAAAAAATAGCTGCGCCCAAGTAGTTATATATCTCTATTACATTCAATGCAGAGTCGATACCTTTTACTGGCAGTGGTTAGACTAATGGGTTTCAGAATTTTTTTTAGATATATATTCATTAAAAGTCCTAAGAATATCCTAATGTTATTTCTGCTTCTTGGTATTATAAGCGACTTAGTTTTATTTACAAAATACCCTTAATAGCTAGTTTGGACTTAGTAACCCAGTCTTTGTTTGAGCATTTTTTAAAGATAGTGACGATATATTCAAATATAATCGATACTTTTTAATCAGTACAAGAAGTTCCTTTGGAAATATAAAATAGAAGGTTACCAACATGGGACCAACCAGATATTTTCAATTTAGATCAGTATTCTTATTACTTTCTGGGCTAATACTAACATCACCTTGAAGGCACTTACAACTAATGCTTCGTGCAAAGGCTAGCGTCTATTATATCTGGGGGTAAAGGAATAGAAACACTCAAGTAGCTATGTATATTTATCACATTTAGTGCAGAGTCTATACCTTTCATTAGCACTCAGATAAATGGGTTTTAGGAAATGTGTTTAGATATCCATTATTCAATAGTAGTTCTAATAATATCCATGTTATTTCTGCTTAGCTTTAATAGCACCTGAAAAAAGGTTGCTTGGACACTTCAGGTAAGATTTTAGTACCTAGTAAGATTTTAGTACAAAACTGGATTGAAGACAACACCTAATATTTTACTTTTTTAAAGTCATTGAGTAAATTGTCTTTCTCTCTCCCTAGAGTGTTATGTATCAATCAAAAATCGGAATTTAGCAAACGCTCAACACAAATATTTCTTACGCTTGCCCTTCTGGAGTGTAGAGGTAAGGAGAACTATCGAAAGTGTCCCACAAAATGTATGAAATTAAGATGGCGCTTCTGTACCAGAGGGACACCGACAGTTGATAAATTAGATCACAGAATCAGACCAATGATGTATATAGTTATACACCTTATGTTTTACTTTTTAAAAGTCATTGAGTAAATTGTCTTTTCTTTTTCCCTAGAGACAAAAATCTGAATTCAGCACAAACGAGATTTAAGATGCGCATTGGTTAACTTAGATCTGTAAACATTCTTTGGATGTTTTCTCACACAAGTAAATATTAACAAAAACAGAAAACAGCCCACGAGCAAATTTATGCAACTCATCAAATTGTACCAGTGGAAGACTTATAAAATTTGAACAAGGATGAGTTTTGACATTTGTTCCTCATTATGTCACTGCATTATAAATCAATAATTTCCATTTGAAGTTCCGGGGCCAGGATTTCAATGTCAGTATTAAAAGGATTTTTAAAAATTCTAATTTCATTCGCCATGACATCAAAGTCTGAGAAACGAGTATCAAAATTTATCTTTAAAGCACTAAAAGCTGTGATTGCAAAATCGACGGGTAACTCAGTCTCAGTAGTGTGGCTGAATATTTTACATGTGTGAAACATGTTTAACGTAATTGTGATTGAAACAGTATTATTTTCTGCCGGAACGATTTGATGTTAGTATATAAATCAGGCAGAAGCTGTTTTTTTCCTTGCAATCTTAAATTCAGTTTGTTCATAATATGTTTTGTCAAATCGATATAGAATGCTAACTTCCACAGCCATTCGCTATTTTGTAATTCAGTAAGAGGGCGATGCTTTTCATTCAAAAAAGTTTCGATCACTGCTCAAAGTTCAAAAAAGCGCTGAAGGACATTTCCGCAACTAAGCCAGCGTACGGCAGCATGATATTATGGTAAGTTATTTTTTCCCATCTCTTCAATAAACTCGCGGAATTGTCGGTGATTCAGCTCAGTGGATTTAATGAAATTAACAACTAATATGACTGGTTTTAGACATATCCAAACGTTTTATTTACCTTCCACTTAATGCTCCAGTCCCCCAGTTCGGTGGCTGATTTTTGCCTGTCTTGGTACTTCTGGCAGCGATCGCTGTGTCGTCGGCGTACATGGATGTGGTGATATTGTTTGTTTGTGGTATGTCTGCTTTGTAGATTGAATACAAGAACGGTGTCAAACAGCCCCCTGTGGTATTCCTGCTTCGGGAGTTCCATATCTAGACAGGGCAGAACCTATCTAGATACGAAACTGCCTTCCACCTGAGTACGACTTGAAGAGTTTGGCCATTGCTCCTGTGTACCCGTAGTCTTTTAATTTGTAAATTAGTCCTGCATGCCAGACTCTGAAGAAAGCCTTGCTGACGTCAAGAAAGACAACTGCCGTTAATCTATTTGTATTGTGTCCCTGCGTTATTCCTTCTACTAACCTTAGAACCTGTAATTCCGTGAGTCTTTCTCTGAAACTAAATTGTTCGTCGGGTAATACATTTAATATTTCGGTTTCTTCTTTGAGTCTTTTTAGAATGACTCGGTCCGCTATTTTGCTCATTGCAGGTAATAATTCTGTGGAAATTTGGGATGCTTACCTGGTTTTTTTTATCATAATAACATCTGCGGTTTTCCAGTTGTTTGGAAAATGATGTAGTCTTAAAATAGCGTTAATTGTATTAGTTAAAAAAACGAAGACATTAAATGGTAAGTTTTTGAGTGCACGGTTTGAAATCCCGTTACACCCTACGCTTTTTTGGCTGACTCGTGGTCGCATTCCTAGCCTTTTTATACTCCAATTACTGCCTTCTCGAAGTGAGTGAAATACACCATAACTTTCTCGAACCACTAAGGTTATTCACGAATGTTTAATTGTTACTGCGATTTCGAAAGTACCACTAGCACCATCTGTTAGCGATAGAGGGTACTACCACTACTACTTATTTCCACTTTTGACCACCATATTTCGCCAAATGTCAGGCCGTAAGAATTAGACATTTCAACGACCTATCCAAATGGCTACCAGTGGGGACTGACAGTTTAGAAACGGCAACCCTGTTGTCATGTTGTCATTAACAGGGTCAATGATCCATATATAGTTATATAGATAGCTCAAAGATGGTCGTTTCCGAGCGGCCATATTGCCTGGCAAATATTTATTAATTTGAATCGGTTTAGCAAAAATGTGTTTTAAAACCAATTTTCAGCCTTTAAATATTCAAAATAATAACTGCTTACATTTTTACTTCAAGACATAAGATTATGTTTGTTTTGAAAAATATGGATGATCAATCTATGTAACTATATATTTCATTGACCTTGTCAAATCACCAGGCCTACAGGGTTGCCATAATTTTGCCATATCATAACCTATCAAAAACCACTGGTAGCCATTCAATTTGGAATGTCCACATACTTTGATTTTCTTTTACTATACGGAGAATGGTCGCACTGCGCAGCTTTCTGAGTGCCTTTTAAAAGGAGATAGAAAACTCCGCCATTTTGAACCCTTATTACGTGTTGCCTACATCTTGGCGCAATATTTTTAATAGGTGCGTTTTAATCATCCGCTTCTGCTTCGGAATTGTCGGTTTTCTTGTTTTAATCTGACAGGTTAAAACGACTAAACCGACAATTCCGGAAGCAGAAGCGGATGATTAAAACGCACATGATATTTTGCTTGCTGCTGTCAGTGTCAGTGAATATTATTTATGAAGTCACAGTTTATTATTAAAGAATGAGTTAGCTCACTCGGACCAGTTGGAAGTTCCAAAATAACATCCACTCCAGGGATACAAATTCAGGATACGCAGAAGACTGCTGTTTTATTATAGGCGGTTGTCATATATTGTATTATCCGAGTTGCACAGTGTATAAACTGGAACATTGAGATCAAAAGTGCCGACGCAGAGTGAGCGATCTGATTCTTTAGCTGTAAACTGTATCACAGGAATCAAAATGGCCGCGCCCTATGTTGGGCGTGTCGGACCTCTCTCTTGCTCCGTATAGTAATTAAAGTATGTGCAAGAGAGAGGTCCGACACGCCCAACATAGGGCGCGGCCATTTTGAACCCTGTGACACAGTTTACAGCTAAAGAATCAGATCGCTCACTCTGCGTCGGCACTTTGGATCTCAATGTTTTAGTTTCTACACTGTGCAACTTGGATAATACAATATATGACAACCGCCTATAATAAAACAGCAGTCTTCTGCGTATCCTGAATTTGTATCCCTGGAGTGGATGTTATTTTGGAACTTTCAACTGGTCCGAGTGAGCTAACTCATTCTTTAATAATAAACTGTGACTTCAAAAATAATATTCACTGACACTGACAGCAGCAAGCAAAATATCAGGTGCGTTTTAATCATTGATCTGGCAACCTAGGGATACGACATGCGTAAGCGAAAAGTGGGACCGGTCCGCCATTACTGTGAGTGCAAATTGTCAAATTTTATAGGTTATATTTTTAGTGTCATTTGTGTAATTAAATTTGAATTTAATTTGTGTTTGAGCAAATTTTGAGTGTTACAAACTTATAAAGTATATAATGCTGTGTTATACGTTCCTGCTCTAGCGATAGACGTTTTTGTGAAAAATCGACTGGAATAACGTTTCGTAGGTTAGTATTAAAATTATAAATATTATACAGGACAGTATTATGACAGGTTTGTATAAAATGTATAAAAGTATGCTTTTAAAAATGCAAAAAAAATCATCTATCAACTGTTGGGCCTACCTATATTGGAATAATACTTTTTCATATGAAATAATATTTATAGATTTCCAAAAAATCCTATAAAACGGAGCGCGTGGATAGTTTGTCAACAAGTATAATAAATTCAGCAGTATATGTTTCAAGCATTTTCTTGAGAAGTACATTAATCGTACGCCATTTCGTTTATCAAATTTAATTTATAGGCATTTTATATTCTTATTTCTATTTAAATATAACCTACACTTGCTGTCCTTGCACCAATTTTATTTATTAGTTCTACAGCTGATTGAAAAGTAGAGCTTCATGTTTTGTGTATGCATGAGTATTGTTTGTTTTATTATAGTTAATTTAAAACAATATTAATATACCTTTTTAATTACCTATAATTTGTTTCAGATTAGTGCGTTTAATGGAATTGGTGAAAATTAAGCGATTCGCCAACTTTGGGGATGTGTCAGAAAAGTGACATCAAAGTTATTCAACGTTTCCAGAATAAAGCATTAAGGAACATCGCCAATGCACCCTGGTACTGCCACAATACTGATCTTCATAGGAACCTTAAAGTGGAGACTGAATATTCGCGAGCTGCTTGTATGGAGTATCGGTGAAGATTTCCATACCGACAAGTTCCAAGGCACCAAACATTCAGTGCTGTGTTTCGACATATTCGAACACA